TGCCACCCACCCGCTGCATGGCTGTGAGTTACACTAACTTCTCTATGCCTCAGTTTCCTTACCCAGAAAGTGATTATTCTAAGCATCCCCGATGCTTATGGTTTTTACTAGGATTAAGAATTTTTTTTAAATTTTTTTGAGACAGTGTCTCACTCTGTTGCCCAGGCTAGAATGCAGTGGCATGATCTTAGCTCACTGCAACCTCCACATCCTGGGTGCAAGCAATTCTTATGCCTCAGCCTTCTTGAGTAGCTGGTATTACAGGCATGCACCGCCACTCCTGGCTAATTTTTTTGTATTTTTAGTAGAGTAGTAGACACAGGATTTCATCATGTTGACCACGCTAGTCTTGAACTCCTGGCCTCAAGTGATCTGCCCGTGTCAGCCTCCCAAAGTGCTGGGATCACAGGCCTGAGTCACGATGCCTGGCCAGGATTAAGAATTTTTAAATTTTTACAGTGTTCAGGACAGTGCCTGGCTGTCAGCATTGTGCAAGGGTTTGTAGAATTTTTATGTATTGTATTTACTCACAGGTGTGCTAGTGTGTGTGTGTGTGTGTGTGTGTGTGTGTGTGTGTGTGACTGGTTTGTTTTGTTTTTAGAGATGGAGTCTCATTCTGTCCCCCAGGCTGGAGTGCAGTGACACAATCATAGCTCACTGCAGCCTGGAATTCCTGGGCTCAGGAAATCCTCCAACCATGGCCTCCCAAGTAGTTGGAACTACAGGTACATGCCATCGTGTACCTGAGCTAATTTTTGCTTTTCTATTTTTGTAGAGACAGGGTCTTGCTATGTTGTTCAGACTAACCTTGAACTCCTGGCCTCAAACTGTACTCCCACCTCAGCCTCCCAACAGAGCAAGGATTACAGGTGTGAGCCACTTCGCCCTGCCAACTGGTTTTTAACAGCTCTAGCAGAGATATTGGCCAAGTACTAGGGAAAAATACAGGAGGGGGGAATTAATTCTGCCCAGGGGTGACAGGAATAACTACATGGAACTCACATCTGCAACTGAGTAGAATGCAAGGCTTTAGAGGAGATACCTTACAATAGTGGCTCTAAACCTTCCCTTAAATTTAAATCTCCTAGAGGGCTTTTTAAAAACCCTGATTCCCAAGCCCCAGGCCAAAAGCTCTGATTCAGTAGGTCTGGGTAGGACCCGAGAATTTGCCTTTCTAACAAGTTCCCAGGTTATGCTGGTTGTTGCTGATGCTGGTCCACGGATCCCACTGTGAGCACTGCTGCCTTACAAGACCCAGGAGAAAGCAGCAAGTGCATAGGTTCAGAAAATGAAAGAACCTGGCCTGCTCGGGGGAGCAAAGGTAGTCTGGCAGGGTCGGATCAGAAGGCAGTATAAAAGATGACAAAAGATTTGGGAGGCCAAGGCGGGCTGATCACGTGGTCAAGAGCTTGAGACCATCCTGGCCAACATGGAGAAACCCCATCTCTACTGAAAATACAAAAATTAGCTGGACGTGGTGGCGCGTGCCTGTAGTCCCAGCTACCTGGGAGGCTGAGGCAGGACAATCAGTTGAACCTGGGAGGTGGAAGTTGCAGTGAGCCAAGATCCTGCCACTGCACTCCAGCCTGAGTGACAGAACAAGACTCTGTCTCAAGAGAAAGAAGGAAAGAAGGAGAGACGGAGGGAGGGAGGGAAAGAGAGAGAGGGAAAGAAAGAAGGAAGGAAGGAAGGAAAGAAACAGAAAGAAAGAAAGAAAGAAAATGACAAAAGATGAGGTGGGAAGAGTGCAGAGGCCACAGCAAATCCTGAACACTTGTGGGACCTTTGGAATTTGTGGCCTTGAATAACACAATCCATCTTGTATTTCAAACGATTGCTCTGGTGTCAGTGGAGAACAGAGTGAGACAGGGGAGACTGGAGGAAAGGACACTGGCTAGGAGGTTGCTGTTAGAGCCCAGAGGAGAAATAATGAGGTCAGAGCTGGTGCAGGTGCAGTAGAAATAAGAGGAAACAGGCCAGGCACAGTGGCTCATGCCTGTAATCCCAGCGCTTTGGGAGAAAAAAGTGGGAGGATTGCTTGAGGCTAGGAGGTTGAGACCAGCCTGGGCAACACAGCAAGACTATATCTCTATAAATAATTTAAAAAATTAACTAAGGGCCAGGCGCAGTGGCTCATACCTGTAATTCCAGCACTTTGGAAGGCCAAGGTGGGTAGATGGCTTGAGGCCAGGAGTTCAAGGCCAGTCTGGCCAACATGGTGAAATCCATCTCTACTAAAAATACAAAAATTAGCCCGGCATGGTGGCACACACTTGTAATCCCCGCTACTCAGGGGGCAAAGGCAAGAGAATTGCTTGAACTCTGGAGGCAGAGGTTGCAGTCAGCTGAGATCATGCCACTGCACCCCAGCCTGGATGACAGAGTGAGACTCCATATGTGTATATATATATATGGAAATAAAAGTGGTTTTGGTTAAAAAAAAAAAAAAAAAATCAAGGCTTTGGATACGATGGCCAAAGGAAACCGAGCTGACTCAGGGAAGAATGAGAGCAAAAACCTGACTTACCTCTTTTAAATGGCTTAGCTTAGCAGTTGCAAAGAAGAAGAGAGAAGGGAGAATAAGGAAGGAGTCCAGAAGTTAGGACCCAGCAGGACTTTGTGAAGATGTTTACAGCATCCTGGTGCTAGCTCTGTCATCTGTGAATACTATGGTTTGGGTGTGTCTCTTCCACAATTCATGTGTTGGAAACTTCATCTCCATGCAACAGTGCTGGGAGGTGGGGCCTTTTGGGAGGCATTTAGCCAGGAGGGATCTGCCCTTGTAAATGGATTAATGCCACCGTCAAAAGGGCTTGCAGGAGTGGGTCTGCTCTCTCTTGCCCTTCTGCTTTCTGCCATGTGTGAACACAAGCAAGAAGGCCCACACCAGATGCCAGCACATTGACTTGGACTTCCCAGCCTCCAGAGCTGTGAGAAATAAATTTCTGCTCGTTATAAATTACACAATCGGTTGTATTCTGTTATAGCAGCATAAACAGACTAAAACAGTGTAGCATCACAAACCCTTCTGACCTAACCTGCATTTAAATGCAAAGTGCCTGCTGATCATTATCTATTCTCAGGCCAACGGGCTGCCTGCCCTTCCTGGTTCTGCTCCTATCACAGGGGCCTGACTCATGCAAATTACATTTTTCAGCCTCCTTGACCAACTGGCTTCTGGTGAATTTCCACCAAAGAGTGGCACTGGCAGGAGACTGCAGGGAGAGGAGTAGGAAAAGTTATTCCTCCCTCACTCCTTTTCTTCCCCACCCCTGGCCCCATCTCTGCCTTCTGGGTGGCTCATGAGATCTGTGCTGGATTTCAGCATGTGTCCCAGCTCCTGGCGCCTGGTGACATTCCCTGTCTTTGGTCCCTCCAGCTGTGTGTGGGTGGGGAGTCACAGCTTGCTACTGTTGCTCATCTCTGCAATGACTCACTAGCCCACTTGCCTTTCAGCTCTTCCAATATCTGACAAATAGTTCCTGGTATCTGAATTTCTTCTATTGAATTAGCTAGTGTGGGCCCTGTTGTCCTCACTGGTGCCTGATTGATAAACATACAATGATAATCCATCAGCTTCTCCCCCCACCACTGGAGTCAGGCATCAGAATCATATTCAGGCTGGGATTATCCAAGCTGATATTAACAAAGTCTGTCATTTAAAGCTAAGCAGAAGAACAATTTTAAAAGAGGTGGTAAATAAAGATAAAAGCTGAAATAAATATATTGTACAACATAAAGGAGTAAAATGATAAATGAGTTCAAAAGCTGGTTTTTTGATAAGATGACTAAAGTAAACAAACCTCTGACAAATTTAATTAAGGGAATATTTTTAATTAGAAATGAGAAAGGAGATAGGACAATTTACAGAAAATAGTTTTTCCCCCAAATCCAAAGAGAATGTTATGCATTCTTGTAGACTAATAAACTGAAATCCTTGATGAAATAAACAATTTCTAGAAAAATTTAATTACCAAAAATAATCTAAGTATAAATCCAAACAAAATAACAACTGAGAAAAAAATTGAGAAAATCATCCAATAACAATCCCAAAGCTCCAGTTGGTTCCATTGTTTCCACCAGCAAAATTTTTATATGTTTAAGAAACAGATAATTTTCATGTTGTATAAAACATACAGAGTGAGCTTGGTGCAGTGGCTCACACCTATAATCCAAGCACTTTGGGAGGCCCAGGTAGGCGGACTGCTTGGGCTCGGGCACTTGAGACCATCATGGGCAATGTGGCAAAACACCCATCTCTACTAAAAATACAAATATTAACCAGACATAGGGGGTGTGTGCCTGTAATCTCAGTTACTTGGGAGGCTGAGATAGGAGGATCACTGGAGCCTGAAAGGTTGAGGCTGCAGCGAGCTGTGTTTGCACTACTGCACTTCAGCCTGGGTGATACAGTGAGACCCTATCTAAAAAAAGAAAAAAAGCGGACAACGAGACAAGTACCTTTATGTCTATTAGGCAAGCATGAACTTCTTCTCAAAGCCTGATCAAGATAAAACACTCAAAAAGAAAATTATAGGCACAGATAACATGAAGATGGATAAGAAAAGCTTAAAGAAAATTCTCACCTCTAAAAAGGAATTTGTTTTACCGTACTGCTTCAAATCTTCAGAGAGATGATAAGTTTCTTGTGGGGAGGAGGGTGTTGTAACACAGCTTCACTGAGATATAATTCTTTTTTTTTTTTTTTGATAGAATTTCACTCTTGTTGCCCAGGCTGGAGTGCAATGGTGTAATCTTGGCTGACTGCAACCTCTGCCTCCAAGGTTCAAGCGATTCTCTTGCCTTCAGAGTAGCTGGGACTACAGGTGCCTGCCACCACGCCCAGCTAATTTTTATATTTTTAGTAGAGACAGGGTTTTACCATGTTGGCCAGGCTGGTCTCAAACTTCTGACCTCAGGTGATCCATCTACCTCGGCCTCTCAGAGTGCTGGGATTATAGGCGTGAGCCACTGTGCCTGGCCATAATTTTTATACTACAAAAAATATGAACCACTTTATAAATCTGTGTCATCCTGATGCAAGGGCTGTGCTAATCTCCACTGCCTCGTTCCAACTTCAGTATATGTGCTGCTAATGCGATAGCACAAAAGGTGTTAACTTTACATTGAAAGGAATCATAAACGATGAATGGTTTGTACGTTATCAAAGTAAACAACCACTTGATAAAACTTCCAAAGCTAAAATCAAAGGAAAACTATCTGGAGAAAATGTTCACAGCAAATATAACAAAAAGTTCTGTGTTATGCAAAGAACTTACACATGTTGGGCTGGGTGCAGTGGCTCACGCCTGCAATCCCAGCATTTTGCGAGGCCCAGGCAGGTAGATCACCTGAGGTCAGGAGTTTGAGACCAGCCTGGCCAACATGGTGAAACCCTGTCTCTACTAAAAATATATAATTAGCTGGGTGTGGTGGCAGGCACCTGTAATCCCAGCTACTCAGGAGGCTGAGGCAAGAGAATTGCTTGAACCAGGGAGGTGGAGGTTGCAGTGAACTGAGATGGTGCCACTGTACAACAGCCTGGGCAACAAGAGTAAAACTCCATCTGAAAAAAAAAAAAAAAAAAAAAAAAAAAAAGAACTTACACATGTTGATACAAAAAAAAAAAAAAAATTAAGTCTCTATTGCGTAAACTGGCAAAGAACTTGAGAAGGCAATTCACGTAAAAATAGATACTATTAGTAAACAAGCATGTGAAAAAATGTTTGACTTTGCTGTGATCAAAGACATGCCCGCACGAACACCGTGGGAGCATTTTACACCCACTACATTAAGATAATTGCTTTTTGTTTTTTGTTTTTTTTGAGACAGCGTCTCACTCTCTCGTCCAGGCTGGAGTGCAGTGGTGCAATCTCAGCTCACTTCAACTTCCACCTCCGAGGCTCCAGCAATTTTCATGTCTCAGCCTCCCAGGTAGCTGGGATTACAGGTGTATGCACCACACCCGACAATTTTTTGTACTTTTAGTAGAGACATGCTGGCCAGTCTTGTCTCAAACTCCTGGCCTCAAGTGATCTACTCGCCTCAGGCTCCCAAAGTGGTAGGATTACAGGCATGAACCACGGTGCCCGGCCCCCTACATTAAGAGAATGTTAAGAGTTACCTAGTATTACAACACTGTGGTAAAGCGAGTTGACTCATACACTATTGGACATCTTAAAATTCCATAATATCCCTTTATCCTAAGGCATTTTTAAAGATTAAAAAAATAAAGCTGTATGAGGTGTTCTTTCCAATGTCATTTCTAACAAGAAAAATAAATATATATATATGTATATTTCTATGTATTTGTGTGTGTGTGTGTGTGTGTGTGTGTGTGTATATACACACATGCCTCATTTCCTCATCTATAAAATGCGGCTAATAACAGTACCTAAAGAGTGATTATGAGTATTAAGTAAAACTCTTCAGGCTGGACACAGTGCCTCACACCTATAATCCCAGCACTTTGGGAGATGGAGACAGGTGGATGGATCACTTGAGACCAGCCTGGGCAACATGGCGAAACCCTACCTCTACAAAAATACGAAAATCAGCTGGGTGTGGTGGCACATGCCTGTTGTCTCAGCTGGTGGGAGGGATGATCGAGCCCAGGAGATCGGGGCTGCAGTAAGCAGAGATCACACCACTGCACTCCAGCCAGGGCGACAGAGCAACATCGTGTCTCAAAGAAAAAAAAAAAAGAATAATGATACTATAAAATTGAATCACTTCAAATGCCTATACACAAGGGTTTATAACAATGTAAACATGATGCGAAGTGGACAAAGGACTAGAAGGAGAAAGAATAATGAAAATCTCCATGGCATGAACAAGGGAGGTGTATAAATCACTTTTCTTTTTGGAAGTATTTTGGTTCTAGTACAAAAAGAGATCTTCTGGGAAACAAAATTAAAGGATACCAAAAGCTATTCTAATGAATTGGCACCTTCTGGGAAGCCTCATACTACATCTGGGATCTCTGCATCTAAGATATTTGAAATAATAAACCCAGCATACATCCCCGCTGGGGCACCATGTGGTGTGTGGGACTAGCCAGCTGATGGCCCTGCTTCACTTGCCCAGAGGACCAAAGAGGCATTTATTGGCCTCAATAATATACCAGTGCTGGTTATTCGATCTTCCTTAAAGATGAAGTCTTTGCCTTGGCCAGGATGGTGGTACATGCCTGTAGTCCCAACTACTGGGGAGGCTGAAATGGAAGGGCTGCTTAAGCCCAGGAGTTCTAGGTCGCACTGAGCTATGATTGTGCCACTGCAGTTCAACCCAGACAAGAAAACAAGACCCTGTCTCAAAAAAAAAAAAAAAAATGAAAAAAAATGAAGTCTTTTTCTTAAACCCAATACTCAAAACACAAAACGAATCTCTGCATAGTTGGGAAATGGACCCAAGTTTGATCTAGATGAACAGAACCTTCCAGAAATAGTATGGAGAATCCTGAAAGAACTAAAAGTAGAACTACCATTTGATCCAGCAATCCCACTACTGGGCATCTACCCAGAGGAAAAGATGTCATTACATGAAAAAGATACTTGCACACGCATGTTTATAGCAGCATAATTTGCAATTACAAAAATGTGGAACCAGCCCAAAGGCTCATCAATCAACGGGTGAATGAAGACACTGTAGTACATATATACAATGGAATACTACTCCGCCATAAACAGGAATGAATGAATGGCACTCACAGCAACCTGGATGGGACTGGAGACTATTATTCTAAGTGAAGTAACTTAGAAATGGAAAACCAGACATCATATGTTCTCACACATAAGTGGGAGCTAAGCTACGAGGATGCAAAGGCATAAGAATGACACAATGGACTCCAGGGACTCAGGGGGAAAGGGTGGGAGGGGGATGAGGGATGAAAGACTACAAACTGGGTGCAGTGTACACTGCTCAGTGATGGCTACTCCAAAATCTCACAAATCACCACTAACAACTTATGTAACCAAACACCACCTGTTCCCCAAAAACCTATAGAGATAAAAACTTTTAAAAAATAAATAATAAATTTTTTTAAATAACAAAAAACAGTAACCTTCCAAGAAGCTGCTTTGACCTGCAGGACCACGGAGCAGGTGGTTACTCCTCCCTTTTGCGATGTGGTCAATAGCCAGGAAGTGTCGAACAGCAGACAACTTATCCCCGGATTCGTTTAAATCTGCAAATGAAGAAAAATGAAAATCACCAGAGGGACAGGCTTCAGGATAATGACAGGCCGACCTAGAGGCAGCTTTAGGCTTTTTCTTCCCAAAAGTCGGCCAAGTTTGAAAATCTCTACCCACTCCAAAGCCATGCATGGAAAGTGACTTCACTCACAGCTCCTGCATTGTCACAGGCTTGTGAAGGACAAATCGAGTTATGTGTCACCGAGAGACAGAAACGTAGCTGATCCAAGTTGAGCTTGAGTCCTGAACAACTGCCTGCATGACTCAGAATGTGTGTAGTTAGTAAGTATATGGCTCCAATAAAGGAAGTGACAAGTTCAGTGGAGGATATAAATCCAGAAGAGAAATATCAGGAGATAACATAGAGCCTAGCGTGACCAGGGGCTGAAAAACACTGAGCTTAGATTCAGAGGTCTAAATGCCTATTCCATTTGGGATGGCAACAGGTACCTCAAACCTAATAGTTCAAACACGGGGCTCCATGTCTTTGCCCTCACCTGTCCGGCCAGGCGCCTGCCAGTCTCCTGTAAGGGTAAAATCCTTCTTGCAGGCCTTCTGCTGGAATCTCTTTGCTTACTCCCTTTGTTTTACGTCCCACATCCAAACCCATAAGAAAATTCCACTGGTCGTAGCTTCAAGATACCCCCAAATCTCTCGTGTTCTCATCACCTCCACTACAACCACCCCGGTCCAAGTCATGGTCACTGCGTCATGGCTTCACAGGCGTAAATTTTTCTCCAAGCACATCAAGTCATATCCATTAAATCTACAGCTTAAAAAAGATCTATATCTTAAAAAAGAAATAAATGGGTGCCCTTTACCCTATGTTACTTTTATCTCAGTGAAGCTGTTTTTAATTTTTTTAATTCAATTTTTAAAAATTCAATGGGATCCTATCCCTCTGCCGCTCTGAACCTTCCGGGGGCTTCCCATTTTATTCAGAGTAAAAGCCACAGTTCACGGAATGACCCACAAGGTGACAGACATCTGGTTCTGAAGCCATGATTCCCTCATTCCTATCCGCCTCCTCCCCACCCGTGCCAGGCCAGCTCCACCTGCCTCTGTTGTTTTCTCAAACATACCAGGCGCACTCCCCCAGCGTCTACGCAGGCTGCTAGCTTTTGCCTGGAAGGTTTTTCTTCCAGGCAACTTCATGATTCACTTCTTGACCTCTTTCAAGTCTTGATTCAAGTGTCACCCGCCCAGCAGGGTCTTCCCTGCCATGGAATTTAAAACCCCAACTGTCCCCTACTCTGTAAGGTTCCATCTTTCCTCCCTGCTTTATTTTCTACACAGCACTTATCACAAGCCACATGTTTCCACTTTGCAGAATCCAATTTCTGAGCATAGACGTTTTATTTTTTGTCTATGTCTCTCCCGACTTGAGCTCAGAAAGACAAAGATTGTTTTTTATTTTGGGGGAATTTTTTTGTTGTTTTTCTTTTGGGACAGTCTCACCGTGTCGCTCGGCTAGAGTGCAGTGGTGCAACCTCGGTTCACTGCAACCTCCACCTCCCGGGTTCAAGCGATTCTCCTGCCTCAGCCTCCCAAGGAGCTTGGATCACAGGCGTCCACTACCGTGCCTGGCTAATTTTTCTATTTTTAGTGGAGATGGGGTTTCACCATGTTGGCCAGGCTGGTCTTGAACTCCTGACCTCAGTTAATCTGCCTTCCTCGTCCTCCCAATGTGCTGAGATTGCAGGCATGAACCACAGAGCCCTGCCCCGTTCTGGTTTTTAAATGGAAATTGATGACCTCAGAAGCAGAAGTACAGACAAACTCTCTCCCGGGTCTCCATCTATGTGGAGGCCAAAAAGGCCAAAGTCAGAAGTGCTGGGAGCCGCGGGACCTCCCTTCTCCACCAGGTCCAGCATTTCCCACACTTTCTGAGTCCGACGCTTGATTTTAGCAGCCA